TAAAAAATAAAACCAAAAAAAAGGATAGAACATTAACTATTGCGTTAACTCTGGTCGACAGTTAAGTACGTGCCGGAATAGTCTCGAACTTTACTTTAGTGTCCACATGTCTGACCAATACGAGTCTGCAGTCACTGACATCTGGTGCTACTCTACTTTTCCGGAGTTTTCTACCGTTTTCTCCCTCTCCTCCCCCCCCCCCTCTCAGTTATTTTCCCGATCGATATTACGTGAAAACTAATCTACGGTTTCAGAATTTAAATGCACTTTGTATTCGTTCTCTCTCTCTCTCTCTCTCTCTCTGTTTGTCTCTTTCTCTTTTTCTCGTGCAATCTCGATTCATACTTTTTCATGTAAATTGTCAATCAATTTCGTTAATGTATCGTTAAGTAATTGAAAATAATTTTGCTACGTATTACCGTTAAAATTGATTTGATTAATTATTTGCAAACCAAAAAATAAAAAAATAAAAAATAAAAAAAAAATAAAAAAAAAATAAAAGATAAAAAACAAGATAGGAAAAGGAAAAACAAATAAATAGCTTTAACGTATTTCCATAAATATTAATTTATTATAGAAATGTATAAATATCGTATATGTTGTGTTCACGCATTTTTCTCAGTTGAGAAGTTACGAAGTGAACGTCAAAATGGAAATTTGCTCTCTCAACGCTAGAAACGAGTATATAAATTATCGATAAAATTCAAAAAATACGGGCGGTAGCCTCACAGAGAGTAAAATGATTTATTCTCGTTAAATTGATAGATAAAAATGTAAAATAATGGATACGGCTGGTACACCGGCAATGTATTCCATCCTGTTACGTGCATCAGCTTCGAGTAAAAAGAGAGATGAGGGAAGGGGCTCGGGGAGGGTTATATTATATTTTTCTTTTTTATTTTTTTATTTTATTTTTATTTTTTTTTTTTTTCATCACGAATGACACGGGAAAATTTTATTAACAATTTATTGACATATAGCACGGGAACGCAGTAATTCAATAAATATATTTTCATTTTCGTATTAATTCAATGAAAACCGATGAAATGCTTATTGTCTAAATGTGTTTAATGATTTCAACGTAATTAAAAAGAAAAACAAAGTTATTTCAATAGAAACTAAATAGTATTCAAGAATGATTGGTTGGTTGGTTAGTTAGTTGGTTATTGATCAAACGAATCCAACGAGAAATAAGAAGGTAGGTAATGTTAATAACTGTGACATGGTCGTAGGTGAGTGTTGAAAAAGTTTCCTGTGTTGAAGATGGAAACGTTGCTAACAGAGAGATAGAAAGACAGAGAGTGAAAGATAGAGAATATCGATATCTCGTTGGTATTTAGCATCGAGTCTGGGAAAACGCAGGTAACCTCGAACCCTTTGCTGACTTTGCAGGGTGGTTCATAACGAATGTGTTTCGCGGCACGAAGCGTAGCAAAGGTGGTTGCTACCGGCGAGTGTGACGGTAACGACCACGAGTCATTAGCAATGCTAATGCACCTTTCGACCGATGAGACACCCCCTCTAATGCCCTACTCTCCTTCTCCATCCAAACCCTTCCTCCTGTCTCATCTACAAACCCCTTTCAAGCTCGAATTCTCTCACTCTGCCTCTCTCTCTCTCTCTCTTTCACGAGCAGACCAAGCATAGTGCATTTCTCAGCTTGGCTACTTTTAATCACCCATTCTATTCCAACACCATCCCTAACGGCAAAATACCTCTCTCTCTCTCTCTGCCACTTTCATAAATTTTATTTAAAAGACTATTTTGCTTTTCCTAATGCAATCAAATCTTCTCTTACGATCAGTTAAAAGTTTTAATTAATTTGATATTTATCGAATATTATTTATATAAAAATTATTAATATATTATATGGAAATTATTTCTTTTTTTTCTTTTTTTTTGATCAAATATAAATTTAATATTTAATAATAAATTCAATATTTTTCAATAACGTATGTGTTATCATCGTAATGGTCAATGTTTGTCACGATTAATGTAATTTATACATCGTAGTAATGTACATCAATCGGATACTTTTTTAATTAATTATTTAATTTTTCTTTTAATTCAAACAATTGTAAAATATTATTATTGAATTTATTCTATTTAATTGATCAACATATTTTTGAACATTTTCTTTATTTAGAGATATATACAAATATTCAAAGAACTAAGAGAAAAAAGAACATGACGAAGATAGAGAGAGAGAGAGAGAGAGAGAGAGAGAGAGAAAGATAAAGAGAAAACCAAAATTACTAGAAGGTTTAGACAAGGTTGGGCAGAAGCTAGGACATTGTTAACGGCATTGCTGCCTAATTAACCGCAAACGCTTTCAGTGGGTTTCGCCTAGTCTATTGTTTACATGCGGGTATGCCGTCTCTCTATGATAGTACTTCTCGTCCAAGTCAGCTAAAATATTTCCATGTAGAGATTCTCTCTCTCTCTCTCTCTCTCTCTCACTCACTCACTCTCTCACTCTCTCATATCTTCCTAGTATCTCAGTGAACCCTCTACGTACACGTTATCCGCTAAATTTGCCAGCACGCAACAAAAGTGATATAACTCCGACATTAAGTTTGCAACGTTGTGCGTTGCCCCGGAAAACAATCGTAATTCTTTAACTATGATAATATATACATATATAAATATAGAAACAGAAAAGTTTTAGCATTGTTTAATATTTATGACGCATTTTTTAAACATAACTTAATAAATCTTACAAGGAATAAAATTTCATTTTTATTTGATTCATCTAAATTGATTTCTAATTTGATTTAAATTATCAAATGTTACAATATTCATATTATAAAACTAATATACACGTTATATAAAAGTATATTAAATACGTATGTTATTTTGTTACAGATTACGACAAGACAAGGGTGGTGGCGCATGGTGTCCTAAAAACATGGTAACAAAGGAAGGAAAAGAATATCTCGAAGTTAATCTTCATAATCCTCGTATTCTTACTTCGGTAAAGACACAAGGTAGATTTGGAAACGGTCACGGTGTCGAGTACACAGAGGAATACTTCGTCGAGTATTGGCGTCCTGGGTTCAACAAGTGGGTGCGATGGAGAAATCGACGTGGCACTGAGGTTGGTTGGTTCGTCGTTTTATACGTATATAATACACTAACACGTTTCTCGATTCGTCGCGACTTTCGATCCTTTTCCTTTTCAACCACTTTTCTATCTCTTTCGATTTTATTTAATTAATAAAATAAACGACAAGCTGTGTCCGATCACTGATGGTTCTTTCTTTCATCATCTCACGGACATTAAATTGAAACAAAACGAAATGAGAAAAACCCAACCAAGTTCTTTTTACTACCCTTTGTTCTTAACGATTCTCGTTCGTGTTCGTTCCATTCCTAAAGGGATTGATACCGAATGGTCGCTTTTTAAAAGTAAAAAAGAAACGAAACAGATAGATAGGACAAGAAGAATGAGAAAGGGAAAAATAGAGAGAGAGAGAAAAAAAAAGAATCGTCTTAAATTGCCGAAATGAATTACAGTTAACTTGTATAATTGCTCTTGCCAACGAAATCCGATTACGTTTGCCTCCGTTTCACAAGAAACCAAAAGGTAACGCGCGACGAGTGTAATTCTACTCTTTTGAGCGTAGAAAATCCACTCGTTTCTCCTTCGAAAACGGAAGGATGAAAAAGACAAAAAGAGGGAGAAAGAGAAAGAGAGAGAGAGAAAACAGAATAGAGAAGAGAAGAGCAATAACCCCGAGGCAGAACGCCATTTGTATTCCCTCTTTCTCTTTCTATCTTTCAGCTTTGTCTCTATCTCTCAAGTTAGATACAACGCGTTGACGAAAATCTATGGGTTTACAAATGAGAAGCACTGTCCACCGTTAAGTGGCCATTACGGGTTGTCATGCGTTAATTAGCGTCTCTTCAATATGATAATGCTAGATAGGATATTCATTAGGGGTTGGGGAATACATTGTTGTAGCAATACTGTCATCGACGTTCAACTAAATCATCATAGTCTTTTCTCGACGATTGTACATCTATTTGCGTTAGATAATAATAATACTATATATATATATATTAGCAAACGCATAAATTTGATTGTTGTATGAACATTTCGTCGTCTATGTAACTGTAACTGTAACTGTAACAACAACAACAACTATAACAACAACAGCAACAAACCGTTGTTTGCTAAAATTCAAAGCAATTAGATGAAAGCTTAATAAACAACGATATCTATCTAATCTATCTATCTATCTATCTATCTATCTATCTGTCCGTATACGATTTAGTTTGAGATAGGAAAATTGTGCTTAAATCTATGATATAATGGTATAGAATAATTTCATGCTATCTTCCGTGTTACACGAAATCCATTGGGGAAACATAACATAAAAATAATTTATCGATAATACATTTAGTTTAATTTTACTAACACACATGCACTCTAATGGAATAACAAGATCAGTGAAGAAGCGTTAAACTTTCGTTTTAACTGGGAAATGGTAGAAGAAGAAGAAGAAGAAGAAGAAGTAGTAGAAGCGGTAGAAATGGGGTAGCGTCAGCGTGTACGAGACATTAGGAAATAGAAAAATGTGAGAAAATAAAGTTCATTTGCATAGACAACGCGACGGCAATGCTTGGAACGTGTGCACGATATACCCTACTACCCCGGGATGCTAGCTAGCTAGCTAGGTTGGTACCAAGCTAGTCGGAAACACGGCTCGGCTAATGAATTCATGGAAGTTCGTAGGACCAGATAGATCCTCCAAACCCCTCTACTTCCAACTCCCGTTGCACCACTCATTCCCCTCTCCTTCTTCCCAAATGTATCCTAGTATATACGAATGAATGTCGGGTAATATGGTATCACCCGGGGCATCGTGAATTTTCGAATAAACCGAATCGGTTGTTATTAGCGAAACATGCGCAAACGGAAAATGTCGAAATTGTAGTTACTAATTTGACGAATCGATTGTGAATATTTGTTGTTGCTATATATATATATACATTGCAAAATGTATAACTATGAAAAAAAAAATAATTATTCATATGTTATATATATATATGAATATATCGATTCGAGAGAGAGAAAAGTGGGGAAAAAAGAGTAAAAGAAAGAAATAGAGGAAAAGGGATGAGAGTGAATACAAGACCCTTTTGTTCGTAGCCAATCGCCTGGCCAACATTTTGTAAATGGAACTTTAATGGGAACACAATGAAGGTATAGGGATGCGTGTGCATTTATTCATCGTTAAAAAAATTCTATAGGGATATGGATATAATCAATCGTAACAACGAGGGAAATGTCCATTTTTCATATCTCCTTTACCATTACAAAAATCTATACACAATTCACATTTTATATGTATATATATTATATTATTATATTATCATTCACTATCATATATTTATTACCATTATCGTGCTTCGTTTGCGTCGAAATTCAATTAAGCTTCCCTCGAGAATAGAATACTAATACGTTGAACATTCTCACGAAATTTCGTTACCGTTTCTTGCATAGGAATCTAAAGATAAAAACTTCATTTAGATATAGAATTTACTGTGTAACTTATTTTAACTCGGCAAATTACTCGTTTTAATCGTATTCTCGTCAAACAATTTGTATAATTTCGTTACAATGAAAAAAAAAAGAAAAAACAAAAAAGAAACCCTCTTATAGAAAAAACAATAATATAAAATTCAAATAACATTTCTTATTTTTCTTATTTTTCCTTTTTTTTTGTTTTATTTTAACATAGATACGAGAAAAGTACGTTTCATGATGTAACGTAATACTCAAAAGGAACGTTTTATAGAAACGAAGCTTTACGGGAAAATAGATCGCGCTGTTTCCATCAATCGCGAATCGTTGTCATCGAAAAGCTTCTGATATTTTCTCGTTCAACTGATGATTTCTTTGCATACGTATCATCCTATCTATGTATTATACCGAACCGAACGTATACGTATATGTAACATACATTGGTAAAGGTACAGATCTCTTATCAACGTACGCGTGTACTATTCGTAAACGAAGAAAGATAGAAAGATAGAAACCTTTTAAAGTAGACATAGAGAGAAAGCAACGAACGTACAGGAGCTTGGTATCTCGTTTATTCCAGAAACGAGAAACCCCCGTATGCCAGTCTCTTCCTCCTACTCCTCCTCCTTCCTCCCTTCTTCCCACCCCTTATGCCCCCCAGACTTTCTTCACATTTTCACGCAGATCTGCTCAAAGCGAAAGACCGACGAAGATATCCGGGAGTCGAAGAGGGGGGAAGGAGGAGGAACGACGATAGCAGATGGGAAGGTGGTAGATGGTTGAGTAGAGTGAACAGAGGGGTAATAGTAGTAGTAATAGTAATAGTAGTAGTAAGGTGGGAACACGAACGTTTACCCTGCAGCCTCAATCTGGGCGGCATGTGATCTTTGTGCACGCGCTCTTTCCTTTTACTCTCCTTGTGCTTTGAATACTGGGTTGGTAGAATGAAAGAGAGAAAGAGAGAGAGAGAGAGAGAGGAGTTAGGAATGATGAGGAGCAGGAAGAAGTGGGGGAAAGGAGGGTTTGGACCGTTGGAAAGGGGGGGGGGTTTCGCTGGTGTGATATATCATTCTAGGTAGTAGTAATAGTAGGTGTGTATATTTTAGGTAGCGTGCACACACGTACACACACGTTTCTATTCCACGTTCGTATTTCTTTACGTCCGAGTATAGGAAGACTACGTTATCACCTTTTCGTCGTCGTTGTCGTCGTACGTGACCCGAACCTTGCACAAGCATTTTTTTTTTCTATGCTAAACTCACATCACCAACCAACGTTTTCAACAGTTGGAAAAGAAACGCCAAGACGACCGACTCTTTCCTTTTCTCCTTTTTTTTTTTTTTTGGTGTGTATTTGTGTTCCTTTTTTTTTTGATAGGGGTGAGAAAGGATTTCTTCTTCTTCTTCTTTTTCTTCTTTTCTATTTCCATCATTCCCTCACCTAACGTTTCCCTCTCATTCGTTAGTCACGGTCTTTTTTCTTCTTTTTCTTTTTTTTTGCATTACTTTAGAACCATTCCTTTCGAAAGTTACCTTAACAGTTTCCGTTTCAAACGTCTGGCCCAATGTCTGGAATTTCTCAACTACAATACTCATATACGTCGAGTTTGAAAATTAATAAATACAAAGTTGAGTGTTGTTAAAATAGTTCAGGGATACGGTAGCCTTCTATTTTCTAATTAAATTCGTTCAGTTTGTTTGCTTTTCTTCTTTCTTTCTTTCTTTCTTTCTTTCTTTTTGAGATTTTTTCATTTTTTTATTTTTTGATTCTTCACATTCTCTCTTAACGCAGAAATATTACTCTCACGTTATTCGTAAATCTATGAATTATTTTTCAAGTGATATGAATTTAAACGTACGATCATTTTTCAATCTGAATTGTATAAGTAGATATGCGGGAACAGTAAACAACATGAAAATCAACTCAGTGATTCTATGAATATTAAATGATTATAACTCAATCTTGCTGATGCAAATGATAAAATAACAATTCACTGGTTCAGAGAATATCACGTTTGGTTTGTTTATTGCATGCAGATGAAACGTATTTTATTTGGTGTTACGTTAGCACGAGTTACAATTAAGTCAAGAGTTTTCTTTTTAAATTAGTTATATCATTATTAATTTATAATATTATGATCAATATATAAATATATATATATATATATACATATGGAGTTAAAAATTAACGTACGAAATATTTAAAAAAAAATTAATTTGATCTTCATATCAACGATTAATGCAAGTAGGAACATTCGTTACAGAAATTATTATGATCGAATGAAAAATACGTTCCGCAATCGAGCTTCATTTTCATTTATACATCATGATTGTAATTGATACGGAATCGATTTCAAATTACATTTGATATCGGCGTTGTTCAATTACCTCTGCTATAAATAATTGATACGCGTTAGATCATATAATACATATGGAGATTTCCATAGTATCAATATTGCTATCAAATATGCTGTTATACATCGAAGTCGGTAAATCTATCAAAGGTTTACAAATTTTACCTTTAATACATATTCCATGTAGAATTAATTTTAAACGACTTTTATATGC